TTTTTTTTTTTATTTTAGTTACAGACAAGAAGCGAAGGTTTTACTCGGTCAGCGGTCGCGAATGATCTCTCCACGATTCGGCTTTCCCTCGCTCTTACTTTTGGTGGCAAAGAATTGAGGCATTTCAGAGGTCAATGAGGTTGCCACAGTCCTCATCATGACCATACCGGCCCCCCTGCACCGGTGCAACGTGGTGCAAGTGTTGCTGTAGATCGTGGAGTGACGATACCGCCGCATTGACCAGGTGATGCAACTGTTGCCGGCGTTTGTTGACGCGGCCGGTGCGAATTAGCGGCCCTTTCCGTTGACGAGTGGATTGATCTCGCTTGGAGGTTTGCCGCGGATCATCATGGCGATTAGTAGATCGGCTTGCATCGGGGTTTGGCTTTCGTTGACGGCAATGACACAGCCGGGATTGCACGCTTCGACGGTGCTGCGTAGTGGGGGGTTGCGCCGATTTGACAGTCACTTTGCTGGCGACGCGTTGCGGCTTTTTTTCATCATTGGGGCGGTGAAGAAGCGTGTGGTGTGCGAGCTTACAAATGCGGCAACTATGTCGAGACGAGCATGAACCGGTTTGGTGAGATCTGGCAAGGCAGTTCATGCAATATTTGTGAGTTCTTACTGCATCGATTCTTTCGGGGACATCCATCTTCCGAAAACTGGCGCATGCTTGTAGGGGGTGAAATCGGCAACAAATCTGGCACTGATATATATCGGGTGATCTGCAAGACACAAACAAGTGGATTAGAAATAAGACAATGCAGGGTGTAAGCGCGACATGTCTAGTTTCTAGTGTTGCTTTTAGAGTTAAGTAGGATGAGATAGGGGTTATTGAGGATTGGAGTTAGTCTGGGACCGTTCAGTGGGGAGAACACATAGTTTCACGATTGGTCGGGTATAGATGCCAGTTTGAGTTTTAACGTCTGCCACTCGGATGTGGTTGTCGGCGCCCCTGTGGAGTTTGAGCACTCTTCCTAGGCGCCACTCTTGGGAGGGCAATAAGTCGTCTTTGATGACAACGAGCTCGCCTTCTTCCAGATCCTTTTGAGGGTATTTCCACTTGTGGCGCTTATGCAAATCTTGCAAATATTCACTCTTCCATCGTCGGCTAAACTCTTGATGGAGCACCTTTAGTTTTTGCCAGCGGTTACTAAGTGTCATTTGTTCCGCGGGTGGCTCGGGTATTGCCATCAGAGGGGCTCCTCGAAGGAAATGCCCTGGGGTGAGAACCAGAAGATCACTCGGATCTTCAGACATCGGAGTTAGGGGCCTGGAGTTTAATACAGCCTCAATGCGGACCAATAATGTCGTAAGCTCTTCAAAGGTAAACTTGTGGGTTCCGGCAACTTTGGTGAGATGAGTTTTAAAGCTTTTTACCGCGGACTCCCACAAGCCACCCATGTGAGGAGCCTGGGGTGGTATGAATTGCCATTCTACACCTTGGGTATTAAATTTTGCTACGACTGTTGCGGCCACTTGTTCCATGAAGGCATCGAGGTGCTTGTTTAAGGCACGTTGTGCTCCGACGAAGGTTTTGCCATTATCGGACATGATTTTTGAGGGCAATCCTCGACGACCCACGAACCTTGCGAAAGCAGCGAGAAATGATTGGGTGGTCAAGTCAGAGCAGACTTCTAAGTGTATTGCCTTTGTGGAGAAACAAACAAAGACACATATGTAAGCCTTGTGATAAGCGGCATTTCGAGTTAATCCGCTTTTTACGAGAAGAGGTCCCGCAAAGTCTACTCCAGTTGTATTAAAGGGAAGGGAGAATTTTACCCTTTCTGGAGGAAGTGCGGCCATGATTTGAGAGCGGGTCTTTTGTTTGTAGATTGTGCACGTTTTGCAATGAAATATACATTTTTTTATACGAGGTTTCAACCGTGGGATAAAGAATTCTTCCTGTACCATGCGTATCATAAGTGATTTTTCAGCATGTAGCAAAGCTGAGTGGAGAAATTGCAAGTATAGTTCACAACATCGTGATTCTCCGGGAAGTATAATGGGGTGTCTTTCATTATAGCTTAGAGTAGCGTGCGCTAATCTTCCATTTACTCTCATAAGGCCTTTTTTATCAATAAATGGGTTTAAGGAGAGCAAACTACTTTTCTTGCTAATGGGTTGAGAGGTCGTTAATTGGGAATATTCATCTTTAAAGTAACGACGCTGGGCTAGGATTATTAATCGCGTTTTTGTAGAATTTACTTCATCTTGCGTCAAGGAGCCGGTCTTATAAGACGTCTTTCTGCATCTTTCGACGAAGCGCAATGCATACGTAAGGACCCGTAAAGCCTTTGAAAATGAAGAAAATGTGTCCAGAATATCTTCCTTTTCAGACATATGAAAAGCCTTGATTATTCTCTGTTCAGGGGCTGGAGTTTTCGTAGGTTCGGATCGCGGCCAACGACTAGGCGATTCGCAAATCCATTCGGGACCGTGCCACCATAGGGATTGAGTGGTTATATCTTGAGGCCTGCATCCACGAGTACCTAGGTCAGCGGGGTTGTGGTTACTAATTACATGTCGCCATACAGAGTTTCCTACATTTTTTAAAATTTGGGATGTACGATTCGCGACGTAAGTCTTCCAAACGTAAGGTGGTTTCTCCAACCAAGCGAGTACAATTGAAGAGTCGCACCACAAATATACTCTTGCCTTTTGTAACGAGAGTTGCGAACGGGTTCGTGCTAAGAGTTTCGATAGGAGGACAGCTCCGCAAAGTTCTAAGCGTGGAAGGCTGACTGTGTGAAGCGGGGCGACCTTACTTTTTGCAACAAAAAGTCGGCAAGTTGGTGGGTTTTCTCCATCTTGACAACGAATGTAAAGACATGCGCAATAAGCTTCCTGGGACGCATCGCAAAATCCATGAATTTGGACAGAGTACGTAGGAGAAAACCCAATCCATCGGGGTATTTTGATGGATTCTACTGAGCGAAGATTTTCTATGATTGTGTTCCACGTGTGTAGCGAGTTGGGCTTAGCGCATTCGTCCCAATCTGTTCCCTCTTTCCAAAGAGTTTGCAGGAGGATTTTCGCTCTTATCATTATAGGCGAAAGCCATCCTGCCGGGTCAAACAGTTTAGCAACTGAAGAGAGTATTTGGCGTTTGGTTGCCGAGTGTGGAGTTTGGGGTGGAATAAATGTATATGAAAAAGAATCAGATACTGCGTTCCACTGAATACCTAGAGTTTTTGTTGTACTCCGGTCTTCCAGTTTTAAGAAGTTTGAGTCTAAGAGATTGGTGCTGGGTATTTCATCGAGTATTTTGGAATTATTGGCTGTTATCTTCTTGAGTGGAAAGCCAGCCGAGTTTAGGGCTTGGGTTAGTTGAGACAATGAATTTTTTGCAGTTTCTAAATTATGCCCGCCGGAAAACACATCGTCTACGTATGTTTCCTGTTTAAGCACTTTTCCACACATTGGGAACTTGTGTTCAGAATCTTCGGCCAATTGGTGAAGAGTCCTGATGGCCAAGTAGGGGGCACAATTTACACCGAATGTCACTGTTTTCAGCTTGTAATCTCTTATTGAATCTCTCTGAAAATCTTGATGGTTTTCGTGGACCAGTATTTGGCGGTACATTTTTTCAATGTCGCCGTTGAATACGAACTGGTAGAGTCTCCAATTGAGGATTAGAAATGTTAAATCAGTTTGGAGAGTGGGTCCTGTATAGAGAACATCATTTAAGGAATTACCAGAGTTTGAAGATTTAGAAGCGTTAAAAACTACTCTTACTTTTGTTGTTCTACTCTCAGGGCGAAGAACCGCGTGATGGGGCAGGTAAAATGAAAAATATTTTCCGCTTCTTATAACTTCATGAGGTGTGGTGGGTTCCATATGATTTAGAGTAAGGTATTCTTCTAAAACATCTGAGTACGTTTCTCTAATATCAGGTTTTTTGGCGAGACTCCGTTCAATACTTAAAAATTGGCTTATGGTTGAGAATCGGGAATGTCCAAGGGCGAGAGATTCCGGAAAGTCTTTTTTAAAAGGTAGTCGCACTTCGTATCGACCATCTGCTCTTCTAATTGTGGTGTTCTGGTATAGAGTTTCGCATATTTGGTCTTCTTCCGAGGGTTGAGCAGGGTCCACAAAGTCTTCTTGCTCCCAAAATCTTTTGAGCAGGTCGCATAATGAGTCGTCGGGTGTTGGTTCGACTCGGGTGGAGAATGCTGAGACTTGCGCTTGAACTGGGCCACTTAAAATCCATCCGAAGATGGTATTTTGTGCCAACAAGCTATCGGAAACATTTTTAACGCCTGACAGAAATATTTTCGGGGTTAAATCACTGCCTATCACCAAGTCTATTTTACCTGGAGTAAAACATAAGGGATCGGCAAGATCTAGCGAGGCGAATTGTGTCCAGTCAACATCCTTTACTGTGAATGCTGGTAGAAATTGGGTGAGTTGGGGTAGAACAATAGCATTTGTTTCTACTTTAATATTTGTGTCCGTTGTGCATAGGGTTATTGGGCAAATTTGGGTAGAATTCTGTACGATTCTACCACCCATACCGGAAATCTCGTAGTGAGCCTTTTTTGTTGGGAGTTTTAACAAATTTTTCACTCTTGAGGAGATAAAAGTTTTTTCTGAACCTGGGTCTATTAATGCCCTCACCTTATAAATGTCCCCTAAGTGAAAAATTGGAACTATAGCGGTTGGGAGTAGTATTTTTTCTTTACTACTTGTGTGATGCGATTGAATGGATTCCTGCTCTTGCTGCCTAGCCCCGGTTGAAGAGGTTGGGAGTTCATCGAGCTCCGTACTTCCTAGTGCTTCTTCTGTGGGCCTAGCTGTAGTTGTGTGCACTGTCGATTTTTTGGGTATTGAGTTTGAGTTTGAGTTTTGTGGGTTAAAATGTAACATCGAATGATGGGATTTTTGACAGTATACACACGTAAAGCTACTTCCACATTCTCTAGCTATGTGGGAAAATGCTAGGCAATTTTGACAGTATCCATTTTCTTTCACAAATTTCAATCTTTCTTGGACTGATATTGCTTTAAATTTTGGGCATGTTTTAAGTGGGTGTGCGGGTGAGACACTACATAATTTGCAGGAGTTTACATATTTCTGATCATTATGGTATGTACGAGTTTTGTTTGGGTTCGGGTTTGAGTTAAAACTTTGAGTTTTCGTTGAGTTAAATGAGGGTTGAAATTTTTGAAAACTTTGCTTTAAGTTTGTATTTTGAGTTTGCTTGGGTTTTTGGGGTCGGTGAGCATTTAACCTTTCCACTACTTCGTAGCGAGTGGTTAAAAATGCATCCATTTCGGACCAGAGTGGAAGGTCTTTTCTTGAAGAAAGAGACTGTTCCCAAAGAGCTAATGTCTCTTCGGGGAGTTTCGAGGTGCATATGTGTATTAGTATTGGGTCCCAGTTGGTTACAGACACGCCTTGGGATTTTAATATTGAGAGACAGTTATTAATACTCGTCTGTAATTTCTGAAGAGATTGGCTATTTTCGCTATAAACTGGGTTCAAGTTAAGAAGAGTTTTAAGCTGGTTATCAACAAGTATTCGACGATTTTCATATCGTGACCTTAGAGCTTCCCATGCGAGTTCGAAGCTTTCATCGCTGAGTGGGTACTGTTTGACAATGATACCAGCTGGGCCCTTTGTTTTATATCGTAAGTGATATAACTTTTGAGCGGGAGTTAACTTCGGGTGCCTTATGTATACCGCCGTAAACATATCTCTAAAGGCTGGCCACTCTTCATATCCACCATAAAAGTCCTGAGTATCGCATGGTGGAACTTGTAAAAATACTCCAGAAGATACCGAGTTAGTTTCTGCAGTTGCCGGGTT